CTAAGCAGGAGAATAGAGAATTCAAGGTCAGCCTGGGCTACATAGTGAAATCCTGTCTCTCAAATAGAGAAACTTCTGTTACAAAGGGCAGTTTCACGAGAGTTCCATAAAGGCAGCGTGCTTTTCATGAGGGAGACAATTTGAGACATGATCTTATGGATCCTGGTGTCCTCCAACTCACAGTGATGGTCTTGTCTTAGCCTCCCACCCAGCAGAAACAGAGCTAGGTTATTCCAGTCCTGGGGCTTGAATATAGCACCACGGGCTAAGCAAATGCTCTACCACTGTGTATTCCCCAGACCCAACTGAACAGTCTTTTTTTAATTCTCATAACAGACGTGGCAAAGAAAATTGGCAACATGAAGCCCAGATGTCTTTTCAGTATGAAAACCATGCTTCAATGGCACCTTGCCACCTACCTACTTAAAACAGATTTCATAAAGTAAGATAATTCACATAGAAAAGGCAAAGACTTGAAAGAACACATCCCAGGAGCAAATAATGCCTGGGGTCACGAAGAGATTAGGGAAACCCTTAATGAGTCAGCCCCGTGGACCCTGTTATGGTGCATCTCCTCTAACATCCCTGAAGGGGAAGCAGCTGCCACACATGGAAATCACGGGGATAGATTTTGATCTCAGGGTAAAGAAAATGTTTCTGGCCAGTGTTCTTGTTTGTTTCCTAGTGCTGTGATGAATACCATGTGCAAAAGCAACCTAGGGAGGAAAGGGTTTATTATAGCACAGTTTACAGCTCGTCATATCGAGTAACCCAGGACTAATTACAGGGGTGACATTGCCCATGGTGGGGTAGGTCCTCCCACATCAATCATTAGCCAAGAAAGTGGCCCCACTGACTTGCCTATCGGCCAATCTCAATTGAGGTTCTCTCTTCCGAAACGACTCTACCTATGTCATAAGTTTCAATATCTAAACATAGAGTTGCTGGGGAAAATAGTAAGCTCATGGGACCCTGGGCTTTTCAAATGCAGACCATCTAAGAAGAGACAAGATTGAACAAGACACTTTAGTGGACCCACTGACTTTGACGGGTCTTCGTGACTGAGGTTTTGAGTCTTTCACTTCCAGCAAAAGAAAGCCCAAAGGACTTCCTGTATCTACCCAGAGGAGAAATTCCCTATCATGAATGAATGCATTTTTTTTTACTGCTGTAGGAGACATGTCACATCAGAAAACAGGTTCAGTAACCTGACTTATCCTTGCATGCTCTAAGATCTGCCTGGCTTCCCTTGTAGGCTCTGTGGCAAGATGTTTTCTCTGATTGGGTTCTTCCCCTTACTTGGCAGTTAGATTTTGTAGGGAAATTAATGAATCTAGAACTCAAAGCAATCAATCTTCTTTGAGTTTTGCAATTTCAGATCAGGCAAATCATGCTGAATCCACGAATAAATTTCCATTTCTGGCCCAAAGAGCTAGGAATCAACCTCTGGAACTTAGTGATCCTTCTTAAAGCAGCCGTGTTTATGCTGTGCTATCAGACAGCTGGTGCTGTGTCTCCTTGCCCTTGAATTCATAATTATATTAACAATTATTATAGCTGTGACAATTGAGAAGATAATGTAACAAAATGGGTTACTAAAAGACAGAACTAATTTTGTTTTAACTTGATCCAATTGTTTGCTACTGTAGACCAATTAAGGAATAAAAAGCAGCAGGCCACCTTTTCTTGGGCATTTGCCAAGTCTTTCTAGAAGTTAAGGACCTAGATATTCCATGTGTGAAATATTCCTTTTGTTTGTGGGTTGAAAAGGGGAAATCAAGTGGATTCTTAGGGAGTTGAAAAGACAGAGATAGAAGATATATGAAGTCCACCCTGCTAATCCAGTCCCTTTGAGCTGGCAGACTCTTGAAGGCAATGAAGCTGTGAAACCAGGGTGGTGTGACTACTATGGTTGGGATCCTGCAGGAGGAGCCTCTGGTTTCCCCATTTGAAAGGACCCCTGTGCTCCAGACCCACAAAATTGGTCCGCCAACTGCCTCATCTCTGGAAAATCAAATCAAAATGAGACAGAGTCGCGGGGGGGGGGGGGGGGGGGGGGGGGGTCCCTAGGGGTGGATGGAGCACCAACTAGGACACTGGTATCCCAATAGTGACACCATGTGGTCAAAAGGAGCATCAGCAGCACAAAACCATGAGTAAAGAAAGTCTTTAGGGCAAAGCTGCCAGTCTTGTGGAGAGGGATGAGGTAGCAACCACAGCCACAGTAGGGTCACTAGAGCATCGGAGGCTGGGCAAGTGCTGCTTTGGGAGCAAGGAAGAGAAAGGTCTGGTCCTGAAACTGGTGTCCCTTGCTGAGCTGTGCAGGAGAAGAGACTGAGAGTACATAGCTCAGTGAGATAACAAATGCTCAGAAGCAGGAGTCTTCTAGACATCGCAGTCTTCCCAGATTCTGCAATAAAGCACTTGCACCTATGTACAGTAAGAGCTCTTGCGGCTGGATCCCGAGCCCAGATGTGTGTGTGCGCCTATGCATTTTATACACATGGCCTGAAGGGAAGTTCTGTGTAGAACATTTAGTGCACCTGCACTCCCGTACTGACCTGTCACGTGGGGTCAGGTGCGGAATTCTCCACTTGTGTCATCATTTCAGTGCTCAGATTTGGGGGGCTATTGTAGCATGAGGACACACAGCAAGAGACAGAGGGGCCACCTCACAGCAGGACTTTAGGCAAAGGGTGGGTGACACCGAGGGCATGAGTCAGGAGTCTGTGTGATCAGACTGGCAGTCTAGCCCTGGCTATGTAAAAGAAGGCCTCAAAAGGCCATAGAGAAGAGCTTTAAAGGGGAGCCATACTGTTGAGATCAAGTCCATGACAACTGTTTCCTAACGGCAGGGAATGACAGAATCATTTAACCAACCAGAAAGCTCAAGTTTCTATACAAAGGATGGTGCCGTTCATTAGTAAGGAAAACTCAGGAGAGGGAGAGATTCTAACTATGCCCGGCAGGGCCTGCCACATAGTAGGCATTCAACAAATGACTGTTGGCACAGAATGGAACATAACCAAAAGTTACAAAAGAACATAGGAGCTGGGGAGATGACTCAGCACTTAGAGGCATGTGTGGCTCTTGCAGAGGACCTGGGTTCAGTCCCAGCACCCACGTGGTGGCTTGCAATCATTTGTAGCTCCTGTTCCACATGATCCCATACCCTCTTCTGGCTTCTATGGGCTCCAGGCATACATGTGGGGCACATGTATGCATATAGGCAAAAAAAAAATAAAATAAACTTTAAAAACGTTTTAAATTAGAAGACAGAGTGCCAAGGCTGGCCTAGTGGGTATATGTCACATAAGCCTGACAACCTGAGTTCAGTTCCCACAGTGGAAGAAGATAGCAACCACTAAATGTTGACCTTTAACCTCCACACATGTATGGTGACGGAATGCATGGGTTTGCTTCTTTTTTTTAATATGAGAGAAACAAACTTCTAGAGTCACTGGCAGTTTGTGTCACATGGATGACATCGGAGAACATGCTGTCCCTCGATCACTTGCACATCACTTTTGTGTGTTGTCTGATCCAGACACACGCACTGGCATCCCCCATGGCCACACATCGCCAGATGTGTAGGCCGGCTGCAGTCTGTGCCACGAAGGAAGACGTCATGAGCAACTGTACTTCTGCCCCAACTGGCCAAGCAGAGAGAAATGTGGCTGCATCAAGCAGCAGATCCTTCCACACAGCCCAGCTTCCTTAAAAGGAAATCCTCCCCTGGCATGCCCACTGGGATTATGACCGGGCTTGCGCAGTATATGAAAGTGTCCACAAAATGGTGGTGAGCATTTGAATATTCCAGAATATTTCGAAGTCCATGGAAGCTGACATAATGTATCCCTTTAAGGAGGAATTGGCACAGCAGCTGTTTATTCTATTATGAAACAAGTACAGAATTAACACCTCATGGTATTCTACTGAAATGATTTGTTTTTAAAATTTTCGATGAACGGCTTTTGGCCTGAAGGGAGGCGGATTATGGTAGCAGGCATATCTGGCTGAGGATGCTCACTTCACCGCATCCAGGAAACAGAGACAGGCAATAAAGTGTCCATCTGTCTGTGCACACACACACAGCGACCTACTTTCTCCAGCTAAGACTTACCTCCCGCTTTTCACCATCTCCCAATAATGGTGACTTATGATGGATCCATCAAGGACTGAATCCATTTATTAGATCAGAACCCATTCTGCTACAACAAAAAAAAAAAGAAAGGAAAGAAAGAAGAAAGAAAGAATGAATGAAAAAAAAACTTGCAACCAAGCTCACAGCAATGAGCTTTCAGGGGACATTTCGGATTCAACCCCTAACAAAAATCTAAAAAGCATCTATAGCCTATTCTTATTTTATTTTTTTTGCAACGGCATGAAGACTGTGGAATTGCATTTCACACATGAAGTCAGTTCATCACACTGTCTTTGTAAGGATGCTCAAATCTAAGTGGCCTGGACTCAGCCTATAAGGTTACTCATTTGTTTTTGAAAACAAGGAGTGGTTTGTGTGTTTTAATATGGGCAGGAGAGAACATAAGTAGACCCAGGGCTGCTTTTGGATTGCTTTTCAACTGCACCCCACCCCCCAACGGTCTGGATTGTATGTGGACTCTGGGAGAGACCTCGGCGTGAGCATCAGACAGTAGAAGCAGAAAGAGTGGAAACAGGACTGAGGAATGCACCCTGTGAAACTCAACTCTGATAGAGGCTCAATAGTTAACATCAGCTGGGCATTTTCATCCAAGAACAGCACAGCACCCTCCACCCCAGCAGGGTCCCAAACTTCATTTAGATGTGTGTCCCCACAAGGAAAGTGTTTAAGCATTAAGTGGCCAGCCGGGTATTTCTCTGAGCCAATGGAGGAGACCCGGGATTCAGGGAAAAGTGAGAAACGTTTGCCTCTCCACCATTCCAGGCTCCACCGCGCTTACTCCTCCCACTGCCCTCCCCAGCCCAGCCCATCCTCGCCCTTTCGCATGGACTCTGGGTTAGATGAAATTACTTTTATTGCAGTGAGACTAAATTAGGTTGAATGCTCCTCTTTCGGAGGACACAGGGTACCAGACTGGAAGGCCAGGAAGGGAGGGTCGGAACTGGGCAGTGGATGCAGGATTTTCTCCTTATTTGGGTGTAAGTGCTGCACGCCTTAAGGATTTATTTTGGGACAAGGCCTAAACCCCCCGAGTGGGGCTGGCAACTTCAGCGATCAGGCTGCACTCTCGATTTGAAGCACAGGCCTTTCGGGATCTTCCTTGGTAGCCTGAGGAGGTTCTGGCTCCAGGGCAGACTCTAGTGAGGACTCCTCCGGTGCAGCTGGTTGAGCTACAGGCTGGCCATCTGGTGGGCCTTCAGAGCTCCGGACAGGCCCTAGGCGTGGCGGCTTGACTGGTGTGGGTTGTGCTCTACGACTGGAAAGGGCCCTTCTTAGGCTCTGTACCTTCTCCAAGCCGGTGCGTCGCAGTCGCTGAGCCCGGGACTCCACCGGCTCCTCATCTGAACTCTCTCCAACTTGATCCTCTGGCTGTTCTGGACCCTGCACCGACTGGTCCTCAGGGCCCAAGAGTTCTGGTGCTTTCTGGAAGGCGCGGGCTGGAATTTCAGTCTCCTCCTGAATGTGACGACACAGCTTTTTGATTCTGGCAGGCACTTAGCCAGCACCAGCCTGAAACTCTCTCCCCGCGGTTACACCAAAGGAAGCTACTCCACCCTTTACCTCTGCACCAAGAATTGGACAAATGAGAGGAGTGGGAAAGACGGGGCCAGGAGCAGAGGAATAAGCAGGAAGGGGGAAAGTGGGCTGCACGAGTTTGCAAAGTAGATGAAAGCTGTAAGGTATGAAAGAAGGTAACAGCTAGCTGTATGGGCCCTTGGAGGAGGTACAGAAACACCACAGCCGTTATTTTCATGTGGTTGGGACTGACCAAATCTTCAGACTGACCTGAGTTATAGCGGGGAGGGCGTGGATTGGCCAGGCTGGGAGTAAGAGAGGGATAAGGCTACGATGCGGGAAGTGAGAAGTGGGTGCAGTCAAACGTGGGTGCGGCTCTGAGAGTTTGTTCCACAACTGAGGGCGGGCACTTAGGATCAGGAGATGGTGGACCGGTGGAAGGCGGGAGTCCCTCTGAGTGGTGGTCTAAAGGCGGGATGAGGGGGTGCCTAAGGTCACTGACCTTGAAGAGCAGGACGTGCAGCTTCCCGCGCGTCACCAGCAGCCCGTGGTTGGCCTCCAGCCGCTGCACCTGAGCTGCGCGGTGCAGCGCCCGCTCCTGGGCTGCGTCGGCATGAGAGCCCACGCGCTCCGCCTTGGCCAGCAGCTGCGCCAGTGTGTTGCTGGTGGTGTCGTGGCTGCGACTCAATGAGCCCAGGCCGCTCTGAATGCGGCGCACCGAGCCTGCCAGGCCGCCTTGCCTCTCGGCCAGGCCACCCTGCCGCTCCCGCAGCGCCTCCAGCATGGAGGCCAGCTTCTCCAGCAAGGTCACCACGGTGACGGCGTGCACGGGACCCCCGGCAGGCGCCCCAGGCACAGGCCCAGACTCCAGCGCGCTCTCCCCCATGATCTCTGACAACCCAGCCTGCTCTCCCCGCCACCGATGGCTGCGATCTGGCCTAGGGCCGCCTTTCCCCGCCTCCTCCCCAGTTCAGGCCGTGACTCAGCCGGGTGGAGTTGGCATCTCCCGCGGTGGGAGAAGGAGGGGGCCGAGCAGGGGGCGGGATGTCCGAAGGGGGCTCTTTCGAGGACTCCGCCCCGGGATCTGCGGGGAGGCAGGCTGGCCCAGAGGTACCCCGCAAACCCTTTTTCCCCTTATTAGCTCAAGCTCTACATTGGCCCATTTTCGTGGGGGGGGGGGGGCCTCTTTCAGGCCTATGCTCTCCCACAGCAAAGGACGAACCACTGAGATTTTCATTTCATGCATCGAGTGATCAGATTGTGTGCGGGTGGGGGTTGGTAGGATTAAAGGGATGAGGCATAACCTAAACCTTCAAGGCTGCTGAGCCCCACGCTGGGCGCTGGGCGGAGTCCTGGGAAGTTTGGGATGTTCTGCTACAGCCCCAGGAGTGCCTAGGCTCAAGGCAGGGCTTTGTGTGGAGGCGGGCTGGGCGAGGCTTGCTCTGAAGTTTTCCACGTTTAGCCTCTGACTTCGTTTAATGCTGTCTCTTCCTATTGGTTTGGGTTGTCCTATTTTGGACTTCGTGGGGGAATAGCTCAGCTGTGGGTTAGAACAGGAACTCCTTTGTGATTTAATGGAGGTTGACTGTGGTTCCTGCCTAAAGCCTTCATTCCCCTGTCTCCGAAACTGGTACACACTGGGGTGAGAAGATCACCGGTTGGAGAGCAGTGCAGAACACACATGAGTGTTATAAGAGTGAAAGGTCGATCCCTGATTTCTGGTTGTGAAACTTTTGGTTTTTACTATTTATGTTGGACTCGGGTTTGCTCATGTTGGACCCCAGAGTACTGGAGCCATCTAAGCCTGATGAACTAAGAGTGTTTGTTTGAGACAAGGTTTCGTGGAGCTGGAGCTGGCCCTGATGGTCAGCCTTGAACATCCATCCTCTTGCTTCCATCACCCAAGTGCTGGGATTACAAGTGTGCACCACCAAGAGCAGTTTGTGCTGGTGCTGGGAGTTGGCCGCAAGGCCCTATACACCCTAGTCAACAACTCTACTAACTGAGCTACATCCACAACCCTGTTTCTGTGTTTTTGAGATAGGGTCTCACTGTATAGTCCGGGCCTCAAGCTCAAAATGCTGTCTCAGACACGTGAGTGTTGGGATAAACGTACACCACACCCATTAGCTGGCTGACCCATTAGTTGGTTGGGTAACTGCAGCGTTAAGGATAAAATCCAAAACCTCAAGCATGCTAGACAAGTGACCTGCCACTAAGCCATAGCGCAACCCAACTTGGAAATGTGTGTATGTGCATGTATGCACATGTATGTACAAAGGGTGTCAGGTCCCCTCAAGCTGTCGTTACAGGCAACTGTGAGCTATGTCCTGTGCGGGTGCTAAAATAGATTTCCCATCGTTTGTAAGACTGAGACATGTCTCTAGCTTAGACACACCATGTGTTTCAGGTCACCCAAAAGATTATGTAAATGAATAGGGTTGATTAAAAAAAAACCTTAGTGGCCCACCCTAGACAAGTGTAAGTCACAGTCTGGTCAGTTCTAAGTGTAGAGGCTCAATGATATGGTTGATACCCATCACCATCCATCACAGAGCTCATGACCGACATTCTCACAACCCAAGTCAGATGAAAAGGGCTTGTAGCCTGGGATTTTAAACCTTCAATCCCAGATTGAGGATGATGAGTCAGGAAGAGTGAGACTAACCTGGGCTCCACAGAGACTGAAATGGCATACCTAATGTGTGTAGTGAGGTTTTACATGGCACAAAGACCTCAAAAGTAGATCCTCCTGGAGGTGAAGTTACAGATGGTTGAGAGCACCCAATGTGTGTGCAAGGATAGAAACTGCATCCTCTGAAAGAGAAGGAATGTTCTTAACTACTGAGTCATCTCCCCACCCCATAATTTCTATGTTTTGTGTTAGAAAAGAATTGTGGCTTCTGTGAATAGCTTCAGGGGAGCTCAAAAAAGAGGTAGCAGGAGACAGGCACCATGAGAAGATCGCTGAGGTCTTCCATTCTCCATCAGGTCAAATTCTCAACATGTCAAAATACAATGCTTTGTGGAATCATTTCCTGAGTCCCAACATAAAATAAAACAAAACTGAGGTCTCTGTAATTTCTCCCTCTCTTACTAAGGTGATTTGTGAGCACAGGCAAGTGGCCAAGGCAGCCCCTAGATTTTCAACTAACACAATGCCTTCAGCAACTAGGAATCACACTCCCCTTGAGAGAAGACGGAAGCTTGGTGCTAGGTTAGTAATTCCCCAGTAGTCTCTGGGCTGTTCATAAACTGGAATTCTTCATGTCACATACCAATGCAGGCTTAATGTTTCTGATTATTTTTTTAATTTATTTATTTCTTTATTAATTAATTAAAGATTTCTGTCTCTTCCCCACTGCCTCCTCCCCTTTCTCTCCCC